AAAACAAAAAAGCACAAGTGTTCCTGCACGTCTGGCCTTCAGCCTCGGCATTTATTTAGCCTAGGGTATAGTTTCATGTTGTAAAAAAGGCTTGTCTTTTGTTCTGCCTGGAACAATATCTCAGTGTGTTAAATGAGAACTTCACATGAGAAAAAAACCTGCAGAATTAGTAACTTCCATCTCTCTTACCTCTCTGTTTATGAGTTGAAAAATTATTTGATAGCTGAATATGTAAATGCTTGGCTGAATGCCAAGTACTTAACTATAATATATTGTTTTAAAGTATTTTCATAAACATTCAGCACTGGGCTAACCTGGTTTCATTGACATTAAAGGGATTTGGACTTTTAAGTCACTCCCAGCTGTATCAAGAAAAGGATTTAGAAAAAAATACACAGTATTGCTATGTCTTTCTGCAGTCCCATTTAAGTTATAAACCTCTTACTAATACTATAATCTTTTTTAATTTCTTTTCCTTTGCTGCTAGTGCCTCTGTACTGCCCTGCCTTCTGACAGCCTGCAGCTTCATCCACCCAGCCCTTACCTCTGCAATGTAGGGAACAGGAAAGGCCAACAGCAAACTAGGAGTTAACTGTAAGAGGTGGCCTTGAGAAATGCTGAGGAGATAGGTATGACACAAATTCTGCCTGTCCAAGAGACTTACCCACATTTTTCTACTTGGGAATCCTGCTGGAAGTTCCCTCCTAGAGTTAAATCCTTCCTTCCAAGCAAATACTTCCTCTGCAAACCAAGCCAAAGGTTCCCCTCTTTCTGTCCAGTACTCATGATCAGATCAGAAGATACCCATGTGTGCCTGACTTACCTGAAGAAACTTGATATTTCTCACTTTCAGAAAGACACCCCAATTCCCAGGCCTTATTTATTTCATGCACTCTTTAGACTGGAGATTTAAGCCCAGATTTCCCATACCTCAGTGGCTCCAGCCACTGGCCTGCTGAAGAATGCCTTTGGCATTTGTGCTGCCTTAAGTAGATGAAAGCCATGTAGTCCATAAATCCAAGAGCTGTATCATGAGCTGGACACACAGTTATTTACCAATGTCATGACTTGGGTAGTCCCCAGCCATGCCTAGGGGCAGTTTGGCACCCAAACACCTGGTGGAATATGGAGCTGTGAGGACTTTAAGCAGAAAGTTAGGTGGCAGCAGAGCAGAGATTTTGAGTATCTAATTTTAGATTTAGGCACTTCAGTTAGCAAATGGTGTAGTACAGCATAGCCCGCAGTGTAACATACTTCGTGATGTCCATACTAACCTTAAACGTGCCAGTTTAAGCACCAGCACGGTGAGAACAGGCAGCAGTGTAAATTATTCAGTGCAGTTCTGTCTGCATTGCTTTGGTACTAAGCTAATCCAATTAAGCCTCTATCGCTACTTCTTCATCATTACTATATTCATCATGCAAGATAGCACTGTGTACTGGTACATGAGGAATTCACACTTCCATTTGTCTGTGCAGCCGTAACGTTACGTCCATCATTTTACTTCCAAATTAGGTTATGTGGAAGCGTCACCAAAGCTTGTTTTTTTCAAAAATGCTAGTCAACATACCATCTTCATCAACAAAATCAACTGTGAAATGAAATACTAGTAATTGGGAAGCAAGAATAATTTATTTCAGTTGTGGATTTGATTTTATCAAATTAATTTAATGGTACAATATAAAGTAAATGCTAAGATTTCAGCATGCAATTGAACATTTGGCTCAAGATCCGGGTTGTTTTAATCTTTGTCTTTTGATAGCATTTTTAATCATTAATTGAAAGGTAAAAGATATAATACACCTTTTAGTATCAGTTTCTGCATACAGGACCAAGCAAGCAGGACAGCATACTCCTTAATGTGACTACTTTTTCAGAATAGACATTAACTGAGGCTTTTTCATGCACAGTTGATTTTGTATAAACTGATTGACACCTTTGGGGGTCGTCTTTCCACTGACTCATAATTTTGCTCGCTCTTGAAAAAAGCCTGCTGCACACCCAGTATTCTCTAGTTAAAGCTGAAAATTCAACTCATCATATTTACACAATAAGAAAAAAATCCATTCTGCATTGTTTTTAATTGCAAATCCTACTCAAGGGACCAATTCTCCTGCTTAGGAGGCAGCCCTGTGCCTTCTCCTAGAGAACCAACTGCAGTCAATTATGGTAATGAAATGTCAATAAATATAAAAATTTAATACAGCCTGCTCTTGGTGAGTGGCAGATGAGGACTTGCCTCCCAGACAAATTTGCTGGTGCTGCAAATATTAAATGCACCTGAAAGAGTAGCAGGTTACCTGAGAGCTCTCCAGTAGAGGGATGGTGGGAGATCCAGGCATCTACTGGGTTTTTCCATTATGGCATAATCGCTGCTCTAAGGGCACTGATATTCTTGACATCCAGACGTCTTAACTTCGTATTCTGAAGTGAATAGTGTATTCCCCCACAAACTGGAATCTCAGTGAGGGATTTTGAGCATTTTTCCCCCTTAACAATTACAAAAGGGAAATTAAGTTGTGAAAGTTGATATTTATATGTGACCAGATTCTCAATATGAAGTAGCTGAATCATGTCACTATATTAAACTGCTCTTCAAGTAGAAAGTATTTGTGGTATGGTACTTTATTTTTTCTTATTATTTATATAAGTATGTATACTTATATAAAGAAATATGTTTAAGTGTATATATAGAGAGAGAAATAATTGATGAACTAGAAAGTAGTTTATGAAAGATGATTTGGCTGGGATTTCCAAAGACCAGATCTTAGTTTTGTCACAGATTTCTTTAGCCCCATGTAAGCAATTTAATGTCACTACTTCAGTTTTTCCAGGTGTAAAATACAGCAATAAAACCTGCCTTACAGGATACCTAAGCATAATCCATTCACTTAATTGAAACATAAGCACAACTTCTAATGCTTTGCGTAGTTGGAGCAGTGTTATTCTTAACATCCATACAAAAAGGGTAACTTCATTTTTCTTGTATAGTTGCCTTCAATCAATGTCTTGGGAGCACTAAGTACATATAAACAAAATATCTTATTAAAAGTCAGTAACCTATTGATTATATTAAGGTTATCACTAGAAGTTATTTTGAGTTCCTTTCAGTCATCTCTCTATCTTTCCTGGCTGAAATTTTATCAGGTTTAAAGTCTTTTTTTTTTTCTTTTTTTTTCTTGCTTTACAGCTGTTTATTCTTGAGTAACATCAATTCACTAGTTTTGAAGTCAAAAAACATATTTCAAAATACATGTTCCTTAACAATTTTTTATAAAATAGATTTTAAGGGATCAGTGCCTGGAAAAACAAAATTTTGCAGTATTGGTCCATTTCCTCTGGTGATACCTGTCTGATTTTTATTAACTACTTTATTATGGGAGATCTTAAAGATGGGTTTAGAGCACCGATACCTTTAAACAAATTGTTAACTCAAAATGTGAAGTTACTGTTGTGCTTAGTTTTAGTTTATAGCCAGACTTCACTTACGTGTGCTTACGTGGAGTATGGTTAGCAATTCCCCTGTTGTTATGGAGGCTCTTGAAACAGAGAGGTGTTGGTAATATTAGAGCAGCCAGGCATGAATTTAATTTTTTTTTTTTTTTTAATGTGTCAATAACCCATTTAGGGCTCAGCCAGGAACAGTTTAACACAGAAGCAAGCAACACACCTGGCCATTTTCATGGGACAGTGACACTTGTAGGGGGTATGTAAATGCACTCTGATGAAAACGGGGCTGAGCTGAAGGCATTTCAGCTGAAGCAGTTGCTCTCTGCTCCACGCTGCTGTTGCTGCACTGGAGCTGCCCAGTCTCACAGCCTCCAGCCAGGAGCCAGATCACCCCGGCCCCAGCCCCTGCGCTTCACCTTCCCAGCACAGCGTTCCCGTAGGCTGCCATATGGGAGCGTTTTCCCACTGCTCCCCATCCCATGACAAAGGATGCAAAAGTTAAGGGTGCACGTTAAGGGTACAGCCACCTGCATGGAAATGTCCCCTTAATGGGACTGACATTAGCCAGAAAAAAGTTGTAGTGTGCAAGCAGTGCGGAGTTTGCCAATATTCGAGGATTGCTCAGGCATATGTCAGCTGTGAAAGGCTTTAAATATACTTTGCTTGAGAATATTACCTTTTTTAATATGGTGTATTAATTCCAGCTTTCTGTTGGATCTATATAAACAAGTGTCACTTCGTAAAGCTCACAGAGAGGTCAGCCCCGACTCCCCGAGAGCAAATGAGGAGCATGACAAGGGCAGCAGACCCCAAGAGCAGCCCCGTTTTTTTCTGTGCCCCAGACAGAGAACGTAGTTTTGTGCCCTGCAGTTGCTGCTGGGGACAATGCAAGTGCCGCTGGCCTGTGTCACACACCTGCCTGCTCCTCCTTCGCTCGCAGGGGAGGACGCACCAGAACAAGTCTGTTGGAACTAACTCCAACAAACACCAGGATTTTGTGTAGCTAAGGAGAACAGAAACCACCTACACAATACCTCTGTTTCCTGTGGGAATACACCGACATTTCTGGGCTTGAATAGATGTTTCTGGCCAAGTTATGGACACTGGACCATTTCCCATGAATACCATTATGTCCCTCTGGAATAATACACCCAGCATAAGCACAATGCTCACTTCATCAGTCTCTCTTTGCAGAATCATACAACTGCAATGAGAACAAGAGACACCAAATGAATAAAACAGATACGGGGACAGCTACCAGTGTCATAAGCAGTTGTCATATATAAAGCTTCTACAGAAAGTTAATACAGACAAACCAGCATTCACACTGATGTGACATACCATTAAGATAGATAGATTAATAATATTTTCAATATATACCCTTGTCCTAAAATACGTTTATGTATAAAATCATCTTGACTTGATAGCATCATTAAATTGAGAGTGATTCTTTTATCCAGGAGTGTCCTGGTTGTATGCGATTGCTTGAAACGTCCTAAAGCGGTTCTGCGTGTGTGACAACCAGACAGAAATACAATTTTCTTTTACAGGTGGATTATTCTGTAATAGCATCCCAAGCTGGAGCCACCCTCAACAATCTTATGAGCCATGCACAAGAACTAGTAGCAAAGCTTCGTTCCCTGCAGTTTGATCTACGAGAATTTGTCTGTCTCAAATTCCTGGTGCTGTTTAGTTTAGGTAGGTACACTCTACTCTTCATACCCTACTTACAGTGTTATTATTTTTTTCTAAAAACTTTTAAAATATTTTGCTTTTCTTAATTTTTTCCTGAAAAACAGGATTTTTAAATATATTTAATGAGGTTCACAGTAATCTGAGGATTAAGATTGGGTTTCTATGGAAATGACCTCTAAAACCTCTTGGTTTTAATAGAGTATTACAAGCTTTCTGTATTTCTGTATTTGATTTCTGAATATTCCAGAACGAGGATAAAATTCTATTAGAAGTTCTAGAGAACAATGGAAAATACAGATTGCCATATTTTTCTGTGATATTGAATATAATTAGGTAAAGCAGATGGAGTGGGGATATGGTCAAAATATCCCTTTTTTCAAAGGCATCTATGGTAAGTATAAACAATCTTCTTTGCATATGATGGCTGTCACATTGTAACCCATAAATCAGGAATGTATCTCATAGTTTTTAAAAAGTGAAAGCAACTTTCAAGAATTTGAACCTGCTTTGGAAAACTTTAGATGAAGCTGTCTTTAATTACAGGGTGTATAAAGGGTCAATACTTCAGAAGTACAGGACACAGAATATGTAGGAAAAAAAATATTATTTAAAAAATCAGAATGATGCTAATAGAATTGACTGTTATGAAGTTTATACATTCTGAATCCTAGGAAGCGATGATGGGTTTCCCTGGTAAATATTAACATTCTGTATTCAGGGCTTCATTGCTTTCCACATCTTAGATTCAGAAAAGGAAAAGCAAGCCATCTGTTGCAGAAGTCATGTTTTATGAATTAATCTTATGAATAACAAGAATTCAGATTTCCTGATTCCTAATAAGCAGGCTTTTTAGTCATTAGACAGTGGCACAGAAACATTTAAAAAGCCTGTAGCTTTCCTCTGATAAAACATTTAAAGAATTCATCTCAGTTCAGTGATATTTTAAATTAGCTGAATAAGTGAAGTGCATGCGGAAAATTCTCACATTCAGGTGGCCTTTTTGTGTGATTGCTTTCATTGGCTCCTCTAATACTTTGCATTGATTTAGGAATCATTCTTACATCTTTAGCTCTTCTACTTCTGCCAGGTAGCAGCTTGCTCAAGCTCTGAAGCAGTTGGGCAGGAATGAGTACTGAGCCAGGTCATCCACTTTTTCTCTTATTTATGCTACTATAAAGAGATAATTCTGCTCCTTATAGGAGCCTTGTAGTCACATCACTTGCATGTAAAAGCGATGTAGCTAAGAAAGGTTCAACACTTGAAACCGATTGGTTCATTATTCAGCATACTGCGTAATTCCATTTGCTAACAGTCAACGCTAGATGTTATTGTGCAAAGAGTAAAACATAAAGATGTTACTACTTGACCCATAGGACTAAGGCAAATAATTAATGAGAATGAATGACAAACTGCAATGAAAGACACAGATACCCTTTCCAGCTAAGTACTTAATTTTGTGCCCAAAAGTATGAATGAATTGTCTGGCTGAAATTTATAAAATGCCTCATATCCTAAAAGTGAGTCAGATTTTTTAAGACATTGAAGTGCCTAACAACACTGGTAGGCATTTGGCAGGGCTGTCAAAACTAGCTAAACATCAAATTCTACATTAATAACTGGGAGCAATTATTGTACCTAAGTATCTTGGTGCATTTGACACATACCTACATCTCTTCAGCATCTCAACAGAAAACTGGTCTCAATGTCAAAATATATCACTTAATCAAAAAAGATTTCAAAAACTTCAGATGGCTCTTGTTGAAAATCTGTTTCTGTAATGTTTAGTGGAATAAAAAGTGTTTCAAGACATACCAGGCTTTTTGCATTTCTAATGATGTTCATGCCACAGTGTTAACCAAACCAATAAAACCTCATGCTATTGGTTTTTAATATAATGCTTGGTTGAAAAACAAATTTCTAATATAAACCCTCTCAAAGGCAACACAAAGTCAATAATCCACAGAATTAATTTATCGAGAAGAAGCTGTTTGGTTTTTTATAACTGTACAGATATGAAGGTGCCTTGTAAAGCTGTTTGTTATTCATGGCTGTATCATATTGTCTGTCTCTTCACAAGATGGCAATCTCCTTCAGGGCAAAGAACTTTGTCTCTGCATTTTTTCCTAACATTTCAGAAGTTATTGCCTTAGTAAACTAGCAGTAAAATAATGTTCAAAACTCAAAGCACTTACAATAATTTTTCAAAAGACAATTAAATCATATCAGTTTTGCTTGCTAGATATTAAATGAGAGAGGTAATAGCTCGTTATCTGCTCGTCAAAGGTTCCAAAGGGTTTATACAGGAAAATGCTTTTGATTGATGGTAGCATAAAAAATGTTGTTGAAGCTTAGACAGATGCATATTTATTGTAGCCTTTGTGGCTAGTAGTGCACAACTCTTCCTGCAGTCAGACTGCCTATACCCACTCCAGTGAGTGATACACCCAGGAATAGGAGCTCAGCTCCTTTCTCCAGTGGGCCATCTAGTCTGTCTGTGCCCATCTGACCGACATGGCCAAGTACCTAATGATACAGTTGACTCAGCAGTTATTCAGTAAGCCAGAATAGTTTCGTAACTAGTTTCTTAAGTGTGACATCTCTTTAGTTTAGTTCTAGATAGTATTAATATAAGTAGAGTTAGGTAACTTTTAAATTCCCTCCATTAGTTATAAAAGCAAGTGCCTTACAGCTAGGGAGTTCTTACCTCTCTGTACATAAAAGTCTCCTTTCCTGTCCATGGATCTTCCTACTTCAGCCACTGTCTACCTACTCTTAGTGGTTCCTCATGCCATCCTTCAGTTCAGTCACTGCCAATCACTGGAGAGGAGCAAGTCCCTCACACTTGGACTAATGTTCTAAGCAGGTCACCAGTTCAGATGCATGACTCCTTCAGCTCCTGTGCTCCCACAGGTTAAAAAGTCAGAGAACAAATCTGTCCTTAAAACCAGCATAGTCATCACAGTCACACTGGAGATTAGCTTCTTGTGCATGGTTTGGACTCAGCTGTATTTTAGATTAACAAGAGCCTTGACTATTAAGGACATTAAACCACCAGAAGAGACCCCTTTCTTCACAGCTTCACTGTGCCATCAGTGGTCAGTCAATTACTCTGTCAAGACATAGGAAGTCTGGATTAGATTTAAATTCTATCACATTACTCTGATCCACTTACATGATCTTAAGATCTACTACACTAGTCCCATCAGGGTTCCCTTAAAGAATCACAGTCTTTCTCTGAATCAGTCCTCTGTGGCAATTCCCCTGCTGTGTATCCTCATCATGACACACAAACAAATGTATGTTGCTTTCCTCTCTCACTGCACTACACAAATCAGCCAGTCTCTCATTGATACCTGAGATCACAGTAAAGCAAATAGAAACAGGTGTTGTGATCAAAATTGCCCTTCACAGTTTTGGTTGTGTAACCTGGTATAACTGCTAGGCCATCTTCTAGTCACTTCTTCCCCTACTTGATCTGGGGTGGATATGTCTGAATTCTGTACCAACATCTGTCTTTGCTGCAAATGATACACTAGATGCTGATTGGATGTTTTATTTGAAGATGAGTCAGACTTCTGAATCCAAAGCATTTTATTGCAAAGGATCAATCCATCTACCATCATGATTTATCTTAAAGAAGTCTTCTGTTTAGGTGGCCTAGAAATAGCAATTTCTGTTGTCAATCTCCATTTCAATTATCTTGAGCTATTAGCTTGCTTTGAAGTAAATCAGGACATCAGTTCTGATAGCAATTATCCTTGCCAACCTTTCTTTCACTGAGCTTTACATCATATTTACAAACCCCAAAACATGCCTGTTTTGTAGAGGCATCATGCCTGCCTTTTCACATATAGATGTATTCTCCCCTTAAATCCAGATACAGGAGAGAAGGTAATCAACATACCAAACCACAGTTTAACTCAAGTATATCAGCCAATTTTTCTTCCACAATCTAAAGATATGCAGGTATGCAGTAGCTCAAGAGAAATAAATACCTGGATTTTCTTGACTACTTAGTTGCATTTGACATGCTTCTTTCAAGCAAAAAAGAAGAGAGAGCCATGACAATTCAGCAACTGTATTGCAATTTTTTTACCCTAATCCCAGAGTAATAATACACCTAATTTTTCTATAGCATATAACCAGTAGAGCCCACAGTACACATTATCAAAAAGTAGGCCTAAAAATAAATACAAATGGTTTCTTTGTCTTTAATAATTGCTAGTCTGAATCAAGATACACTATGGATAGAAAAGCAAATGTGTCAGTTTATCAGCCTCTTTGAATTTTCATTGCCAAATTTGACATTAGTTTGAAAACTCCCTTTTCTTTGTCATAAATTGAAATTTTAAAAAACAAAACAAAACAACAACATACAGGTCCTTCCACATGTGCAGTTGAATTCGCTAATTCTGGGGCTGAAATAGATTGGGGTGCTCCACTGGGGTGAAATCTTGGCCTCACTAAAGCCAAAGAGAATTTCACACTGTTTCTACTAAAGCCAAAATTTGTTTCACTGTTTCTTTGATTTGCTTCTTATCACAGAATAAAGTTCAGATCAATTTTTCAGCAACTAAATTTGCTAAATGACTTCATTTAAATTATGTTTGAAGAACCAAATGAGTGCCTTACATGAAATACTTTCTATTGTCTTCTGACACAACAGATCTCTTAATTTTACCATCCAGTAGCTTTACAGACTGGTCACTTAACCTGAAATCAGCCACTGTTTTCTCTTTACCAAAATTTCCCATTTGTCCTGCTAGTTTTTATTATCTGAACTCAGCAAGGATGATTTGTCAAACCTCCCATCAGAGCAGTTTGTAAAGTGAAATGCCAATAGAAAGAAAGTTAGACATCATTTGACCTATGTCCAGGCACTTGTCTGCCTGTAGAGCTAAATGCTAGACTAGGCAGCAGCTGACTGGTGCTGGTCCCTTATCATTGTCAGGACACAGATAAATGTACTTCATTTAAGAAATGAAGGCTTTATCAATGGACAA